GTCCCACTAATCCTCCAGGCTGCATCACTCAGGGGAGGAGATGTGAGGGAAGGAGTGGAGGGGACAGAGCAGGGGCAGGAAGGGGTAGAGTCTGGGGTGAACTGAAAGGGGGGGTTGTCCCAGGCCTGACACCCTCCTAAGGAGGGCCCTGGACACAAGTACTCCTGGTGTTAGCACAAGGAGCCAAGTATGCATGTACACAAGTGCTATACTAACTACAGCAACTTTAAGCCAATATGACTTTCATCAACCAAAATGTGTAGGAAAGACATGGCCAAGATAGTCATTTGCAGAATCGGTGAGAGAACCCAAGAGCCTTGACTCCCAGCTCCCTATTCTAATCACTAAACAGTAGAAGCATTATAATAGTAGTGACTGTAATTAATACATTTTATCCAAAGAGATTTTTCACTGTGTAATGATTATTTGTACAGCAATTACCCTCTCATTAAGTGTGGGATATTGCACCTTACAGCATTTAAAAGTAATATTTCCTTGCTGCCTATTCTCACAGTAGTTTACTGTGATATTGACAATGAGGGATTGTTCAGCCATTATGGCAAATGGTCCTGTAGATACCCTAGTCGATACATGGAACATCGAGGTAGCCCAGGCAGTTGATATGATTGCGCCTAAGCGCCCTCTTCGGACCAGTCGAGCCAAGTTTGCTCCCTGGTTTTCTGGGGAGCTGATGGCAGCAAAACGGTCCTTGTGACGGCTAGAATGCCACTGGAGGAGAACTAGAGCTGAGTCTGATCAATTGCAGGTTAGAGCTTACTCTGTGGCGGTGCTGACAGCAAAGAAAAGCGACTTCTCATATCGCGTCCGCACCATGCCGTCCAGCGGAATTGTTTTGAGTAGTGTGAGGCCTGTTGCAGACTTGCACTCATGACAAAATAGAGGACCCTTTGGCCCCCTGATGCAATCTGTTTGCAAAGCATTATGCAAATAAGATCGCCCGCATCCAGTTGGATATGGACTCTGGTTGCTATGTAAGTGGGACACAGAATGTGTTGAGTGCACCACCCAGACTTTTTTCTCTGGATCCATTTCAGCTATTGCAGACTGAGGATGTGGACAAGGTGCTTGGAGGAGTGCAACTGACCACGTGCTCACTTGACCCCTGCCCTTCATGGCTTATTAAATCTAGCCAGGAAGGAATAACTGGCTGGGTCCAGGGGATTATTAATGCGTCTTTTAGATCTGGTATGTTTCCTGCTGCCGTGAAAGAGGCAGTGATAAAACCGTTATTCAAGAAGACTTCCCTGGACCCACATGACTTAAATAACTATCGCCCAATTGCTAATATTCCCTTGTTGGGCAAGGTACTCAAGCGGGCGGGGGCATTGCAACTCCAAGCTTTCTTGGAAGAAACAGATTACGTAGGTCCATTTCAGTCTGGCTTTAGGCCTAGTTTTGGAACTGAAACAGCCTTGGTTGCCCTGGTAGACGATTTACGCCGGGAGATAGACAAGGCAAGTGCATCCCTGTTGATTCTCTTAGACCTCTCAACGGCTTTTGATACCATTAACCATGATATCCTTCTGGGACGTCTGGCAGAGGTGGGTATTGGTTTTGCAATGATTCCGGTCCTACCTGTTGGGACACTTTCAGAAGATGGAGCTAGGGGGCTGCTATTCGACCCCGTGGCAAATGTGCTATGAGGTCTTACAAGGTCCATCTTGTCCCCTATGCTGTTTAATATCTACATGAAGCTGCTTGGAGAGGCCATAAGGCGTTTTGGAGGACGGTGCCATCAATATGCAGATGACACCCAACTCTATTTCCCTGTGACATTAGAACCAGGTGTGGCGGTGACTGATCTAAATCGGTGTCTGGAGGCAGTGATGGTTTGGATGAAGTCAAATAAGCTGAAGTTGAACCCAGATAAGACTGAGGTCCTGTGGATCAGGAGACCATCTGTTCGGGAATGTGGCATGGCACCTGTACTAGATGGGGTTACTCTCCGTCGGAAAGAACAAGTACATAGCTTGGGAGTCCTCCTGGACCCTTTTTTAACATTTGAAAATAAGATTTGTTTGGTGGCCAGGAGTGCCTTTGGCCAACTTCGTTTGATCCGCCAGCTGTAACCCTTACTGAACAAGCATGACTTGGCCACAGTGATCCATGCTCTTGTTACATCCCAACTGGATTACTGTAATGCACTTTATGTGGGGCTGCCTCTAAAGAGCCTTAGGAAACTTCAACTGCTCCAGAATGCAGCTGCTCGAGTTTTAACTAACACTAGTTATACGGAGCACATTATGCCAGTGCTTCAGCAGCTGCTCTGGCTTCTGGTATGTTTCCGGGCACAATTTAAGGTTTTAGTTATGATCTATAAAGCCTTAAATGAGTTGGGTCTGGGGTAACTGAAGGACCATCTTCTCCCATATGAACCTGCCCAGGGATTGAGGTCAACTGGGGAGGCTTTGCTTCGTGTTCCCCCACTTGTGGAGATAAGATTAACATCTACACAGAACAGGGCATTCTCAGCTTTTGCCCCCAGGCTATGGAATTCTCTTCCTCGGGATATTCGCATGGCGCCAATGCTAGCATTGTTTCGACGTCAGGCTAAAGCCCCCTTTTTATTCGTCCTCTAATGGATCTGTACTGGGGTCAGTATGTTCATCATGTTCATAAATAATCTAGGACAAGGAGTTGAATTGTGAGGTAGTAAAAGTTTCCAGAGGATGCAAAATTACTGAAGATAGTCAACTTTGGATTTAACTATGAAGCATTATGACTGGACAACAAAATGGCAGGTGAAATTCAATGTTAATAACTGCACAGTAATGAACATTAAAACCTAATCCGATTATACATATAAAATGATAGCATCTAAATTAGCTGTCACTACTCTAGAAGGAGATCTTTGAGTCCCTGGATAGTTCTTTGAAAATATCTATTCAATGTTAGTAATTAGGTAAGGGATAGAAAAGAAGACAGTAAATATCATAATGCAACTATATAAATCATCTTCTAATAGCCCCATTTCAAAAAAAGATACATTAGAATTGGGAAAAAAAATACAAGGAAAGGCAGCAAACATAATTAAGAGCATGGAACAGCTTCCATATGAGGAGAAATTAAAAAGACTGGGATTGTTCAGTGTAGAAAAGAGATGACTAAGGGTGAATATGACAAAAGTTTATAAAATCATGATTGATGCGGACAAAGAAAACAAGGAAGTGTTATCTACCTTTTCACATTAATATAAGAACCCAGAGTAACCCAATTAAATTAATAAGCAGCTGTTTAAAATAAACAATAATAAATAACTCTTCACACAATGCACAGTCAGCTTGTGGAACTCTTTGTCCGAGGATCTTGTGAAGGCCAAAAGTATAACTGGATTCAAGATAGAATGGCCTAAGTTCATGGAGGATAAGTTCATCAGTGGCTATAAGCCAGGATGGTCAAGGATGCAAACTCATGCTCTGTGTTTCCCTGAACCTCTGATTGCCAGATGCTGGTATTGGATCACTCAATAAGGGCATATCTACACCAGGAAATTATTTTGAAATAACTAAAGTTGACTTACTAACTCCCGATTTTATAAAATTGAAATAACGTGTCCCCACTACAGGGAAGCCTTGAAATTAGTCCAAGGCAGGCTCCGTTAATGTGGATGCACTACCTCGACTTAGAGCCCCAGGAATCACGGGGGAGTTATTAGTTTGAATTACTCTGGGGAGTAGTTACAGGAGGCCCCCGTCTTGCGACACGATTGGTTCTGGGGGAAACATCACAATTTGGGGGCATCATAACTCAAACTCTCATTTATGATAGACACCATGTGCCATCATAAATGCGGGCCAAGGATGTAAGTCAGAGGGTTTCGGCCCCTCCGCACTTACAAAAACGCTACCACTATTTCAAAATAACTATTTAAAAATTAGCGTTATTCCCCTAGGAAAGTAGGACTACAGATTTTGAAATAACTGGCCCGGTATTTCAAAATAATGGGCTTGGTAGTGTGGATACTCCAGAATTTTACTTCTGGGGGGTTATTTTGAACTAACACCCTAGTGTAGACTAGGGCTAATTGCCCTGTTCTGTTCATTCCCTCTGAAGCATCTGCACTGGTCACTGTCAGAAGACAGTACAGCATACTGAGCAAGATGGAACATTGATTTGAGCCAATGTGGCTGTTCTTGTAAGTTCTATTCCAATCGGCAATTAGTCTTTAAGCGTGGAGGAGAATAACAATGGGCAGCACCAGCTCAAGAAAAGCAAATACTGCGGTTGTGTCAACCATCCCATTAAAAATCTGAAATCTCATCTCAGATTTCAGTCTTAGAAGTAGCCATCACGACAACTTTCACACAAAGTTACAGAGCATTAGAAAAAGAGCTACTAATGTTAAGATACATAAATAACCCATTCACTGAAGGTGCAGCTCAAGATCTATCTAGAGCCTCTTCTTCATAAAAAGCCAAAAACTTTGAGAAAATAAGTCTAAAGTAAATATAAAAGATACAGTGTAAAAATGTGTTTGTGCAGCACTCAGCTACTTCATAAAGGGTAGTATAGATATATCTTTGTATTAAATTTACTAAATAATTGTAGAAATTTATGTATTCTTCTTCCTTGTAATGATCTAAATGTTACTTCAGGAGAATACATATTCCACTATCATTATCCCTTATCCTATTCAGTTCCTCACATGGCCAATGGTAAATAAATATCTCATTATCAAACAAAGCCTCAATAATCCAATGAAAGGAGCTAAAAAATATTTTGATATTGAATCCTAGTCTGAGGTTAATGGCTATTGAACCTTGTGGAGGCAACAGCAAACAAAATTCTCCTTAATTTTTTATGAACCCAGCATGTACCGGTATGTGTGTCAATTCATTTCTTTCTTATTGTGGAGGATAAGATCCTTCTCCCACTGAAGAAAAAGGCAATTTTCTCATGGATCTCAGTGGGAAAGGGCACAGATTCAGTAAACTGATTATTGGTATACATTTGGAGACAAAGGAAATCAACAGTTTAGAACATATTCTTTATTACTTCAGGACTATAAAACAGGGTTATATTTTTATTGCACTTTTTATTACATACAATTATAAAGTTAGTTCATTCTTGCTTCTCTGTCTTTCTAAACCTAGCTGCAGTGTTTTAGACTTAAGAAGACTGCAATTTACAGTACTTCAATATGTGTCATAAAATTGCTTTGAGGATTATCTCATGCCATCATTTAAGTATCCAAATATTTCAAAGAATTTTCTGATCTATGCGGTTTTTTCTATAATCCAGTCTGCATATTCAGCCACTTTGGTATAGACACCTGGTTGTTCTGGGCGAGCACATCCTTCACCCCAGCTGATAATGCCAACCACATACCAGATTTCCTCATGTTTACATGATAATGGCCCACCTGAGTCTCCCTGTATCACAGAAAGAAAAAAACAGGATGTGCAAAAGATTATTTTGGACCGTACTTCTCCGCCAAAGAAAGGCCTGATTTCACCGCAGTATTGCTCCCATTTCAGACCATTGTAAATTGATCAGTTTCAATGTAATTGCGCTGTGTAACACGGTCCCAGATCCTCAAAGTTATTAGTTGCTTAAACCCAGTTAATTTCAGTGGAAATTAGTCCCCTAAATACCTTTGAAGGTCTGGAGTACAAGGGTGAATCAGGTTTTATGAGCTTCAGTTAACTGCTTTTTCATTCAGTTAAACACATTTCTACTTAAGACTACTAAGAAGAGGCCCAATCAATACCTATATCATCTTCTTTAAAGCGAATTGAAAAATACACATTTGTATTTATAAGTAAGGGTATGTCTACATTGCAACACTATTTCAAAATAACTAGCACTATTCCGAAATAACGTAGTTAGCATCTACACAGCGGGCATTGAAATAATGTCAAAATACCGTCAAGCCAGAGAGCATCTTACTCCGATTCCTGTAACCCTCATTGTACGAGGAATAAGGGAAGTCGGAGGAAGAGTACTCTATTTCAAAATAAGTGCTGTGTAGATGCTCCCTATTTTCAAATAAGCTATTTCGGAATAAGATACATAATTGACATAACTCAATTTGCATAGCTTATTTTGAGTTAAACCTTGCAGTGTAGACGCACTCTTAGAATTCCTTCTCCTCTCTATGCCAGTGAGAAAGAGAGGAAAGGATAGCAATTTGCAAATTTTTAACTTGTGACCTTGATCTTAACATCTCTTTGTCCTCATCCTTTTGACTAAGTTCAAATATAGCATAAGCTTTCTATCAGGTTTGTCTTCTGTTACAAAAACCTCTCCTGCACACCACTACTCTGCCAAAATCAGGTGTATTATTATGCCTACATGTTAACTGAAAGGCTACGTCTAGACTGGCATGATTTTCCGCAAATGCTTTTAACAGAAAAGTTTTCAGTTAAAAGAATTTGCGGAAAAGAGCATCTAGATTGGCACGGACGCTTTTCCGCTAAAAGTGCTTTTGCGGAAAAGCGTCCGTGGCCAACCTAGAAATGCTTTTGCACAAAAAAGCCCCGATCGCCATTTTCGCGATCAGGGCTTTTTTGCACAAAACCAATCTGAGCTGTCTACACTGGCCCTTTTGTGCAAAAGCTTTTGTGCAAAAGGACTTTTGCCCGAACGGGAGCAGCATAGTATTTCCGCAAATTTCTTACATGAGATCATCAGTGTTCTTGCGGAAATTCAAGCGGCTAGTGTAGACAGCTGGAAAGTTTTTCCGTAAAAGCAGCTGCTTTTGCAGAAAAACTTGCCAGTCTAGACACAACCAAAAGGTTTTAATCTCTGTCTTTGCTTTCAGCAGATACTTGTGAGAATGTATGTTGTAGCCATGTATATCTCCATGCATCCATCTATTTGTTAATACTGTAGTTGATAGTATTTTTAAAGTGTTGCTAAAAGACTATAGCCAGTAGTTAGAATGCATGACTATGCACTTATCATCCCATTACCTTACAAGCATCTTTTCCACCTTCTCTGTAACCAGCACATATCATCTTGTCATTTATCATGTGCTGCTGGTATCTTGTCTGGCATTCTTCAGTTGATATTACAGGAATCTTAACCTTCTGAAGAGTATCTTGCACATCATCTGTAAGCAACACATTACATGGCTAAGATCACAGAGGGTGTGTCTACATAGCAGGGCTTACCTTGAACTAAGGTATGCAAACTGAGCTACGTCAATTGCGTAGCTTATTTCAAAATAAGGAGCATCTATACAGCACTTACTTCGAAATAGAGCACTCTTCCTCCAATTTCCCTTACTCCTCGTACAAGGAGGGTTACAGGAGTCAGAGTAAGAAGTCCTTCAGCTTGACGGTATTTTGACATTATTTCAAAATAACTGCCTGCTGCGTAGACACGGACTAAGTTATTTTCAAATAACATTCGTTATTTTGAAATAATGTTGCTGTATAGATGTACCCAGAAGTTTCAGTTGTATCAAAATAAGAAAAAAGAAACTCTTAAGAATCCCAACGTAGAGTTGTAAGTGGACACACTAAACAAGAATTCACCTAACATGAACTTGAAAACACCATGAACCAAATTCTGCTCAGATAAAGCAATGTAAATCCAGAGTAATGTCATTGCCAGTACAGGATGGCAAGATAAGACACATCAACAGCCCCCAGGGGAGAAGCGATAAAGGTGAAATGTAGGTGTGTCATATCACCACCTAGAGGTGCCTCTGGCTGCCTGCTTAGCCACATAATAGGCTGTCCCTGCTAACCCAGGGGCTATGTCTACACTGGTGGGTTCTTGCGCAAGAACGCTCATTCTTGTGCAAAAACCCGCAGAGCATCCACACTGCCCACCCGCTCTTGCGCAAGAAGATTTACAGTAAGGCGTGGTAAGAGAGGGCTTCTTGCACAAGAGCTACGCTCTTTTCTAACAGGTGTAAGCTCTCTTGCGCAGGAGCTCTTGCGCAAGAAGGCAGTGTGGACGATCGGCAGGGGTTTCTTGTGCAAGAAAGCCCTATGGCTAAAACAGCCATCAGCGCTTTCTTGCACAAGAGAGACTGCCATGGATGCCCTTGCACAAAAGCACATCTCGCACATGGCAGTGTGGATGTGTTCTTGCGCAAGACTTCTTGCACAAGAACCCTTGCGCAAGATGTTCTTCCACAAGAAGCCGCCAGTGTAGACATAGCCCCAGTGTGACCATTGGGTGTGATACAACAGACTATGAGGTGCATATATTGAATTTACTATGCTGCTTACTGTGATACTGTTCAGTGTCCTTTACATATTCATCTGTCCCAACTGAGTATGTATGCACCCCTCCTTGCCTCTTCCATATTGCTGAAAAGGTGCTGGCTTGAGGTGCATCTGTTATCATAGGCTACTCACTCTGGATGCTGCATTCAGTGGCACCCAGGCTAATGGTGCAGTTACCCACCATTGTAATATCTATCCTGTTTTGCATATTTGCATCAACAAACCATGAGGGCAATTGCTTTTACAACACCCTTTTTTGTCAATGAATATAACTGACTACTTGCAATCCTCAGAGCTCACAGTGTGGCTAGCTATGAAACCATTGTTCCCTGAAAATGTCAGGAGAGGGTCATTTGCAGCCTGCCTTTGAAAGTAAGTAGTTGTGATGTGAGCATTGGATATCATTTATAATCATGCATTTGAATCACAGTAGCATCTAGAGTCTTCAGTTGCAACAGCTGTGGTGCACACAACCCTGCTATTTAAACACATGCAGATATATGCATGCATTGAACATGAAAGCAGTGAGAAGCAGTTCCTCAGTCATTAGACTAGAAGGAATCTAAATTTGTGTCAATTCATCAAACGTCTTATTAAACATTAGGTCTCAAATTTGATTAGAAAGGTGGGTGAAATCATGCATATTGAAAACATGCATTTCAGATCATAGAATCATAGAACCATAGAGCTGGAAAAGACCTCAGTAGGTCATCAAGTCCAGCCCCCTGCTCTAGGCAGGACCAATCCCAACTAAATCAACCCAGCCAGGGCTTTGTCAAACCAAGACTTAAACACCTCTAGGGATGGAGACTCCACTGCTTTCCTAAGTAACCCATTCCAGTGCTTCACTACCCTCCTAGTGAAATAGATTTTCCTAATATCCAACCTGGACCTCTCCCACCACAGCTTGAGACCGTTGCTCCTTGTTCTGCCATCTGTCACTACTGAGAACAGCCTCTCTCCATCCTCTTTGGAACCTCCCTTCAGGAAGTTGAAGGCTGCTATCAAATCCCCCCTCACTCTTTGCTTCTGCAAACTAAATAGACCCAACTCCCTCAGCCTCTCCTCATAGGTCATATGCTCCAGCCCCCTAATCATTCTGATTGCCCTCCACTGGACCCTCTCCAATGCGTCCACATCCTTTTTGTAGTGGGGGGCCCAGAACTGGACACAATACTCCAGATGTGACCTCACCAGCAGGGCCGGCTCTAGGCACCAGCAAATCAAGCAGGTGCTTGGGGCAGCACATTGCCAGGGGAGGCATTTCCAAGTAAGCAGCTGCCCCTGACAATGCCGGGCCCCACTTTGCCATGGGGATGGAGGAGCTATGCCCCAGCCAGCTCTGGAGCTGTGGTGGCTGCTTTCAGCCCGGAGAGGGGCGCGGAGGGAGAGGGGAAGAGGACGGGACTGGTCCTGAGCAAAGGAGCCTGGGCAAGGCGGGGAAGCTGGGCTGAGGATGGTGCTGGCACCCAGGGACTCCTCTCAAGCTGACCCCGTTACGCAGGGGGCAGCGGCGGCCATGCTACCCTGGGCTGTGCACACCCCTCCCGCCGCTG